AGGAAATGGCACACCTAAATATCCAAATAAGTATCTAATTCTACCTAAGCAGAGATTGTAGATTATCAATATTTATATTTTATATTCTTGTCTTAGTAATTGCACAGATAGCTATGAGAAATAACTGATCAAGTAATTGTTAAGGGAGTGCTTAGGTGTGCTATTTCCTCTGTCACCCACTTGAGGGCTTTGCTGGAGTTCCGTCAGAGCAAGCAATTATCAACTCAGTGCCGAAATAATAGCCGAAGAACGATCACCGCATGCGCACTTCACTCTTGAGTCTGCACAGGATGAGCAAGGGGAGTTTATTGCCCAAAGACGAGCTGTACTCTCAAGTTATACGGTAGTAAATATCGGTTCATTCTGATACTTTTAAAGCAGCATTCTATGGGAGCCAGAACCCAGAAGAGTTCAAGCGGGATCTCCCGGTAAGATGGCACGGGAATGATTGGCTGGGGAGCTTGGGGTCCCGGGATGGCTTTCGATGTGCTAGTTACAGGAACAGGGAAGGGGGAGAAGAAACGAGCTGGGCCTGGGCGTTGATGAAGGACACCTGACCATCAATCGCAGCCAACGGAGCTTCTCTCGCTCCGTCCTTGTATTGGTGCTGGTCACATATTATATATTATAACAGCATGTATACGTCAACCATCCCGCATGCGCGTGCGGCTCTGCCTAGGCACCTGGTACAGCGAGCTTCGAGGTCGCAGTTTCATCCCAAGTATTCGCGTAGATAGGGTGGTAACGGCGGCCCTTTTGGATTCACTGCGCATCTACCGTAGCAGCCAGCGTACGGCTTTCCGCTCTCCCATTGTTCAATCAGGACGAGGCGACCGGGGAAGGTTGGGCATCTCGGAGGTTGACGGGGGGTGGGGCGGCTGTAATCGCCACTATCGGGCCTCTAAGATTCCAGAATAACCTCCATCCTACCCGGGATCGTGGTAGGCTCTGCCGGCGGGTGTTGGCGAGCGCAATTACGGGCCTGCGTTGAAATTATTACCGCTTCTCCCCTCACCCTCCCATTTCTCTTGGCCCGGTCGTTCGGCATTTGTTTTTATCTTCTGTACAATAGTCTTATCCTCTTCGACCTTGTCCTTTGCAATTGATCCCGCGCCACGTCTACACGCCAATTGCGACCGGTGTCTGGCTACCTCTTCTTAGTGGTTGGCTGCTGCCCGGCTGTGAGCGTGGCAAGTGACCGACCCTCCCTGACCGACGACAGCCGACTAGAGGTAATTCCAAGACCGCTCGTCATCTGCCTCAGCACACTCCGCTCACGCGACCAATCTCTTGATTTGTTCTCGTCGCAGCCTGATCTTGGCCTTCTCGCAGCGCCCTCTCGCCAGGAGCTTCTGGCTCAAGCATCCCTACCGAATTGCTGTTTGTCTAGCAGCGGCTAGTCATACAAATCCAGCGCGTGTGTCCTGTCTGCTGTTTCGCTTTTCATGGCGACCCCGTGTGCCATTACCATCTCTAACTAACCCTCGGTCTACTAGTCACGGTATCGATAACCCGAAACTCTCCACTCTACATCGAATCGAATCAAACAAGCATGGCATTGCTTTCTGCAAGCCCATAGTCACTCCTTCGCGTTCCTCTTCCGGTACACTCGCTTCAATCCGCTCGAACGGCCGTCGCAACTCTGCCTTTGGCCACAAGGAGATTGGGTTTTACGTTTTACTCGCCACTAAACCGGTCGCCCTCTCTACCGTTTATCAATTCAGCGCGCGCTTAGAGCTTCGATTTCGAGAGAGAAAAACCAAGTACACATTATGTCTGCCGTATGTCCACTCACTCCCATCCACCAAGACGACGACAATAAAGCTAAAATTTCTTCACATAGTCCGAATCAGACGTCGTGAAGGCAGCCAGCCTGCCAAGTCCAACCATGATTCAGTTCCGCGACAATATCTCTCAGCCTGTGATCGCTGCGTTTTGCGCAGGAGGCGTGGCTGGTGCGGTCTCCCGAACCGTTGTCTCCCCCCTAGAGCGGTTGAAGATTCTCATGCAGATCCAAAGTGTTGGGCGGGATGCGTACAAGATGTCTGTTGGCCAGGCATTAAAGAAGATGTGGCAAGAGGAGGGTTGGAGAGGCTTCATGCGTGGTAATGGAACCAACTGCATCCGCATCGTCCCCTATTCCGCTGTTCAATTCAGCAGTTACAACTTCTACAAACGGGTACGTATCTACCAGTTTCCGCCGCCGCTTTGGCTCGCAGTGAGCTCCCGCTGAAAGAGGACAGACCATATTCAAATCTCCAGATGGTGCTGATCTCGCACCCTTGACTCGCCTTGTATGTGGTGGCATTGCCGGTATCACATCTGTCGTCTTCACATATCCTCTCGATATTGTCCGCACTAGACTATCGATCCACTCCGCCAGCTTCGCAGAACTCGGCAGCAGACCTCAACAGTTGCCTGGCATGTGGGCTACACTCGTCCATATGTATAAAACCGAGGGTGGCATGTCTGCTCTCTATCGAGGCATGATTCCCACAATCGCTGGCGTAGCACCATATGTATGTGTTCCCAAACTGTTTATCCCACTTCCGCCGTATTGGTGACACTCGTTTTGCCGAAATCGGGATGGTCAACAAGGGCTAATCATGTGCAGGTTGGCTTGAATTTCATGGTTTATGAATCAGCCCGGTCTCATCTTACTCCCGAAGGAGAGAAGAACCCAAATGCGGTCAGAAAACTGCTGGCTGGTGCTATCTCTGGCGCTGTCGCTCAAACGTGCACTTATCCCTTGTGAGTACCAGTGCGACGAGTAGCAGTGAAACGCAGATGAAAACTAACCCAGCTGACTTGCAGCGATGTCCTTCGTCGACGCTTCCAAATCAACACAATGTCTGGACTAGGCTATCAGTATAAATCAATTTTCGACGCTGTTCGAGTTATTGTAAGCCAAGAGGGAATCAGGGGCTTATACAAGGGTATTGTTCCAAACCTTCTGAAAGTTGCTCCCAGCATGGCTTCAAGCTGGCTCAGCTTCGAGATGACACGCGACTTTTTACTCGGATTGAAGCCGGAAGAGGACCATCCAGGTTCCCTCTAATAGAAAACCCCCATGGTATCAGCTGGCGAATAAGGGCGCAACGGGTGATAGAGATATATTGCAGGTACACCGATTGGCCATCTATTGTACCAACAATGTGATCGGATGGCCTTTCCAACAAAGGAAAAATTCAGCCGTATAGAAACGGCATAGACGAACGATGAGGTCGCCAGTGGGCAGAGTGGCTCACTGGGTCATGCTTCTCTGGAATCAGCAGTCTTCGGAGGTCCGTGAGGGTCTGAAACTCCAGTTTCTTGCATCCGATTCCACTTCAGGATAGAAAATGTAGTCTTCACTAGGTCTTTCATATTTAATACCCAGGTTGTAATTGTTACATTGTGTAATAGATGGCCTGCACAGCGTTATCGGGAAGGCATCCTTTCATGACCCCCCCTCTGGCTGGATTCTGGGCGGGGGTACATTCGTCAGGACTTCAGCAAAGCCGTAGGAGACCGAAGTGTCTCACTCTTATCTTATCGGTCAGTATTAGTCCTTTCAGATGTCATGTTCTGCAGACCCACTCAAAGCAGATTATATAAGCAGACCACAAAGCTGAGCAAATTAGCCCTAAATGCCCGGGTTTACCGCCCCAGGCCCGCTCCACAAAGGAATTGAAACGATTTGGGTCCCACCTTTCTGGTTAGTTGGATGTGGGTGATGCCCTGAAATTTCTTCGTGCTTTTTGAATTGAAGCCTTGTTGCACACCACCACTCCAGCCCATCGCCAACTTCGCCAGCGACAACCGACACAATGGGTACGTGAACCGTCTTTTCATCAGCCTGCCGTATGCGAGTGGGAATCTAGAGAGCATCTGAATAAGGTCTTTCTTGATTCCTGCGCCATGGCGCCGTCCATGGGGAGATGTTTCTCTCCACGAGACCTGAGCTGCCTATATTGAGCATATATTGAACCCAATGGCTGACGGTTATATTCACCCTACAGGTATCGATCTCAACCGCCACCACGTTAAGGGCACTCACCGCCAGGCCCCCAAGAGCGACAATGTCTATCTCAAGCTCCTGGTGAAGCTCTACCGCTTCCTGTCCCGTAAGTCGATCTCCAATTCCGACAATGAAATCAAAGTTGTGCATGACCAGCAATCGAGCTCGAAACATGCGAAATATTGGGTGGCCTCGCTAACCGTGGCAACGCGATGGATTTGCAGGCCGTACCGACTCGAGCTTCAACAAGGTCATTCTTCGACGTCTGTTCATGTCCAAGATTAACCGCCCTCCCGTCTCTCTGTCCCGCATCGCTGCCAACACTACCAAGGAGGAGAAGCGCACTATCGTTGTTGTCGGCACCATCACTGACGACAACCGTCTCCTCACCGTCCCCAAGCTGACCGTCGCTGCCCTGCGATTCACCGCCACTGCTCGTGCTCGCATCGTTGCCGCCGGTGGTGAGGCCATCACTCTGGACCAGCTCGCTCTCCGTGCCCCCACTGGTGCCAACACTCTGACCCTCCGTGGCCCCAAGAACGCTCGTGAGGCCGTCAAGCACTTTGGCATGGGTCCCCACAAGAACAAGGTAGGCTCCTCTTTCCGCCGAGAACTCTCGTTAGCCTGCGGTGTGTTGCTTTTAGATTGCTATAATACTCACATTCTCCCTAGAAACCCTATGTTGAGTCCAAGGGTCGCAAGTTCGAGCGTGCTCGTGGTCGCAGACGATCTCGTGGTTTCAAGGTCTAAGGAATGGACCTTGATGGAAAAGGGACTGCTTGGGGCTAGCCTTGTCTTGGGAACTGATAGCGTCATGATAATAGTACCAAGTAGTCGTGCAGTCGGTAAAATCAGGCATTGGAACTGGAGTAACTCGGTATTGAAAAATTCAGAAATTTTACTTTCACGTCAATTGACTGATACCTAACTTGGTTGCTTTTCGATCAATGTGCCGAGGTCACATATGTGAGTTGAGTCTAAATCTTTGGAGACATATATATTACTTGAGCAATCCATTCCCTTTTCTCTGGATCCCGATAAGGTATAACTCCCTACTTTCCTATTTCGTGTAAGCTGGCGGGTGAGAGGGGTCAAAGTCGGGTATCGACACTCACGCTTCTTGATGATTTTGGCTTAAATATGTGTACCTTTGCAAAGAGCAGTCGGGCTCTCTGCTCGAATTCTCGCTCTCCTGACCCTTGGTAAACTTTGCAGACAAAGTTCCCACCGGGTTTCAGAGTGTCACTTGCAAAATCGAGGGCGGCATTGCAAAGATCCTGTTCGGCGATTCTCCGTCAATTATCTGCAAGCTTGTTTGGTATATGGCTCTAATTGTTTTATCAAAGCACTCAATGAAGAAACCCACCAGACTACCAAAATGGTCACGAAAAGGGTTTCCACTCGTGTTCATTAACCTATGATATGGATTACTCAAGGTGTTCACATTATAACCGGATGTTTGTTGCCAGGGTGCTGACATGTCGCTCAGAACCACCTTGAAATAAGTTAGCAAGCAGTTTCTGGTCTGGGGCAGCAACCGAGAGTTGACATACATCAACGATGTGCATCGATCTCGGTCCGTGGTGTACTTTTCCCTGTCCCTCGGTTTCAACATGGCTGGCTTGCCGCTCCATGTCGATGTAGCTCTGTGGCTCAAGGTCATGCTGCCTAGCGTCTTCTGGCGTGTTGGCTTTGGATTCGGGCTCAAGGCGGGACAGTTGTCGCCGATCCTGCAGGTGAAGAATACAGTCCTTAACGAGTTTCTGTACCATAGGGGAGAGAAAGTCCCCTTGGAATGCAGTCACCCCTGTAGGAGGCTGTGCGGGGAGAAGATCAATCCCAACTATTAGACCATCCGGCTTAGTGAGTTGGAGTGCAACCTGTGACCAGCTTCCTGGTGCGAATCCCTGTAATTGAAACGGACTGTCAGTCATGGAATCTTGTGCCAAGGTGTCTTGTCTAGTTTCATAGGCTTGCCAGGTCTACCACGGTTTGCCCGCGCTCGAAAATTTTGTGTTTTGCGGCCATCTGCCAGTGAGGACAAGTAAAAGTTATGTTAGCCGGGCTCTCAGTGGTCCTTTTGGGGATTCTCTGTGGTTCCCATCACAAGACTTGCCTCGATGAGTTTAAACGAAGCTCTGCTCTTCAGGCCTCGGAGTCGGGCAGCTTTTGTATATGGGTCGATCCCTTGTCTTTGCTTCCATTTTGAATTGGATGATGAAGAAGAGTATTGACGACGAAATCGATGTGTGCGAGTTGAGGGATTCTGGATCGCGAAGCAACGCCATGCTAGTACAGACGGGTTTATTATACTTGGGGAGGCTGTGAGTACCTTCATTTCCTCACTGTAATTGAATTTGTAGTGCTTGGATGAAAAAGAGAACATGAAAGTCAAATCTCAACCTCACTCCACTTACTCTACCCATCACCTGGACTACCCTAGACATGCTCACATCCTTCCAACTCGATCCGTCTCATTCAATAACGACACTTACCGCTGTCGTTGAGGATTATTGTGGTGGTAAATGTTTTCTTTGGTTGTTGGCTAGGTTATCTGATAACTGAATATTTAGTTATATGTATTACTTGGAACCCTGAAATTGCGGTTTCCGTTGCGGTTATCAACCTCCGCGACACAAATGATGTTGCGAGTTGTGGTGTTGACAAACATTGTCAATTCTTAACACAAAGCATGCCAATGGGATGCTGAACATAAACAATACAGACTGAGTACCTAAGCAAACCAAACCTAAAACCCCAAGCCAGCAGTCCAACCAATACAACCCAAACGCCGCCATATCCCGTACTCCAACCCCAGCAATCGTGATACATCACATTTAGCATCCCGTTATGCCAAAAAGCTGGCGTGGACACCTCGCCTGTCTCGCTTGAGAGGCGAGAAGCTACTGCCAGCAAACGCATTCTTCACCCCCCCAAGCGGAGCCCGCTTGCGAACCTGGCCATGTTGAACCTTCTGCGTGGGTCGGGCTACTGCTTCGGCCTCGCCATCATCTTCCATAATTGTCCCATTGCCAGCTCCAAGGAGCTTCCGCTTTCTCTTCTTGGCTTCGCCTACTGTGGATGTGACGCGAGCGGTCTCCTGAATCTTCGACAGTGGCCGAGACTTGATACTTAGTGATTTAGGTTTGACGGATACCATGTTCTCTTGGTTGTCCACAAATGAAACTACCACAGGCGGTGCGTCACTGGCCTCGGCGTCTTGCTCAATAACTGGGGCTAGGTTCTTCCTTGATGGAGCAGCTTCGCCCAACGGCTTCGTCCTCGGTCGGCCTCTGGGCTTTCGCGTCTCAGAAGATGCAGAGACCTTTGCTGCAATTTTTGGTCCTGGGGCGTCGACCGGGTCAATGTCTTCTAGTCCGTCGTTATCTGCAGGGCCAGACGTTTTCTCGACTTGTATCTCGGCTACCAGGGGGGTGGGTAGTTCGTGTACCGGGCATACAGTTTCATCGGCAAGAAGTGACTCCTCCGATCCATCCTTGCTTCGATTTAAAAAGGGCGTGATGGAAAAATTTGACTTCTCGACCATTGCGGTCTTCTCAGCACCTCGCTTCTTTGCCTGTCGCTTCTCCATGGCGTTTTCATTTCCGGGTGTCTGGATCGTGATCTCTCCTAGACTCGACTCTTCTACCCGGCGCTTCCGGTTCAGTTGAGCGTTTGAACCTGTGACCTTGGATAACTTTTCCCGAGAGACCTGGGATTTGGCCAAAGCGGTCTGGGATCGGTCGAGTTCAAGCCTTGTTTCCTTCAATTCTGTCTGAACCCCCTTGAGTTTCAATTTCATTGTTGATATACGCTCTTCAAGTCGTTCTTGCAGGCCACGCGCCTCTGCTAGCTCACTGTCATGTTGTCGCTTCAGTTTCCCTTGGCTTTCCTTCTCTGCAAGTAGTCGTTTTTCAGCTTCCTCTACTCTTGAGCGAAGTTCATCTACCATGGACTTGGCCTCTCGGTCTTGCATTTTCTTTCGCGCGCGTTTCTCTTGTTCGAGCTCCACTTCCAGACTGTCAAGCTGGCGTTGCAAATCGTGTTTGTCAGCGACAACAGACTGGTGATGAGCGAGTTGTGATTGGAGATGGTCCAACTCTGGCCGAAGACGATCCAGCTCTCTTGAAAGAGCAAGTTTTTCCTGCAACAATTTACTTGAGTCTTGCACCGAACTACCGAGAGAATCGATTTCAGCCTGGAATTTGCTATCGTCAACAAAGTATCCCGCGACTCCCAGAGTATTTCCCTTACCTTGAGATTGCCAATATCCGTGGCCTGCTTCTTAATCTTAGCCTCCTGGGCACGAGTCTTTTCCTGGCCGTTGCCTAGATTGCCAGAGAGTCGGTTGTACTGGCGCGTAAGCCTTTGGGTTTGCGAATCCTTCTGCGCTAGCTGGTCTCTGAGCACAGCGTTCTCGTCTCGCACAGCAAGAAGGCGCAGCTTGAGGCGGCGAAACTCTTCATCGCGATGGACAAGGTCGGTCTGGTGAATATTGTTTTGATGTGATAGATTGAGATCGTGAAGGCGAGTGACTCGCTGTATTTGTGAGCCCACACAAGCACTTCAACCAGCCATTTTAGTGAGCGCGGAACTAACCTGGACAGGGCTTTCGGCCATGATGGAGATGTAACCTCCCCAGGAGGAATATAGGAAAATGCCGAAGTAGACTGAGTAGCAGAAGCACTGCTCACTGTCTCAATCTGGCGTGCAGTGTGGTGATTTGTGGAAGATCGGAATGTTAAGAAGTGAGCCGAACTGCGTCGGGTGCAGGCCCTCGTCAAGTGTTCTGCCGTTTTTGCTCTGCTGCCAAGTCGTGAATAATATATCTCTGTGTTTAGAACATCGTCAGAAGTTGCGGAGGTCCAAGAACGTGAGGAGGGAGCCCTTGTTTTGTGACAGCGTAAACATACTCCTACTTTGGGACTAGCGCACATTTCTCCGTGGTGCTCTGTTTACGTAAGCGCCGATGACTTAGTTGGGAGCTGACTAACCCCCTTACGTACCTCGACAGGTAAGGAACACGTTTATGGCAAGCTCCTACTTACCTAGGCCCAAGCAGTGAGCCTGTTGAACTCCCACGCTCGTTTGACACAATACAACACCTTCTCGACAACCAATTCATAGGAGGGTGACGGTGAAAATGAGGCTGCTTTCGTCCTTGCTGTCGGCGAGCCTGCTACTTGCCGGCTCGTTTGCTGCCAAAAAGACTCCCACCGGCCGATTCGACGAGTTCCACGCCAAGTCTTTAAGCTCCTCGCCAGTGAAGCTCGCCACTTCTAGCTACGGATCATGGACCACTGCACCGCGGGATTACAGTGCGGCAGTGCTCCTGACTGCCATGGACGCACGCTTTGGTTGCCAACTGTGCCAATCATTCCAACCCGAATTCGATATTCTCGCGAAGAGCTGGGTCAAAGGAGACAAGGCGGGCAAGTCCCGAACGCTATTTGGTGTCCTTGACTTCGCGGATGGCAGAGATGTGTTTGTTTCGGTAAAAACGGACTCTCAAGTCAATTGGACTGAGAACATGAACGCTAACATGCTTAATAGCTTGGTCTACAAACTGCTCCAGTCCTTCTCTTCTTTCCTCCTACTGAGGGTCCTCATGCTGTCGCTTCGCCTGACCCAATTCGATATGACTTCACAGCTGGGTTAGATCACAAATTCACACATATATAGATTTCAGCTAACTTTCCCCAGCCCCCCAGCGCGGAGCACGTACAAGCTTGGCTGGCACGACAGCTTCCCGACCGCCCCCACCCCCCGATCAAGCGCCCTATCAATTGGACGGGATGGATCATGGGTGTTGGTATTTTCGTCGCCGGAATTAGCCTGTTGGTGACGGCTTCGCCATATATCTGGCCCATTCTTCAGAACCGTAATATCTGGGCTTCTATTAGCCTGATTTTGATTCTACTGTTCACTAGTGGCCACATGTTTAATCACATTCGCAAAGTTCCTTACATTGCTGGAGATGGAAAGGGAGGCATCAGCTACTTTGCAGGAAGCTTCCAAAGCCAGTTTGGGCTGGAAACGCAGGTCATTGCTGCGATTTGTAAGTCCTTGCTCCATTATTCCTCTCATTATGTAGGATACTAACATATCCGATAGACGGAACCCTTGCCTTCTGTGCCATTTCCTTGGCGGTTAAGGTCCCCCGAATTGCTGATTACCGTACTCAGCAGGTAGCAGTTCTGGCTTGGGGAGGTGTGCTCTTCATTCTTTATAGCTTTTTGCTCAGCATCTTCCGTATCAAGAATGGCGGCTACCCCTTCTCCCTCCCCCCCTTCATGTAGATCAGTAGATGCGGCAAGCCCAACAGCTTAGCTCCCATTCATCTATTTCGACCCATCGCAAGGGGAGCGCAGTCGGGTGAAGGAGATATAGGGCAGGCGAGATGAGCAATGCCTGCCCATCAATAGCGCGTCTATAGCTTGCCTAATTAGACCAATGAGGTGGAACCATTTGCGATCATGTATATATATTTCTTTGGCCACTCTACGGTGGTTCGGAATCGAGTTGCTGGACAGGTCAGTGACGAAAGAGATACAAGTCTAGTTTTTTTTTTCTGGTAATCCGATGCGTCGAATTGGTGCTAGTGTTTAATGGCGTGAAAGGGCGTGACTTGTGAAGGAATTCATGTCTGCACATTTAAGGCCCGGGATGGGCGACCATTGATAGTTGCTCGTGGATCAAGTTGCCTTCAAGCGTGGTGGTAGGATGGGGACGATCACACTACAGTTTTTGAAAGTTGCCATTCAGATAGAGTACTTTGAGGACAAATGAAATTTTTGAAACCTGTACGAGTTCCCGTTGGAAGAAGAAACAACACGATGTCCTGTGCCTTCGAAGGCTTCCAATAGCCTGCAAATGCTTCATGTTCTCATCAGATTGATGTACCTTCCCCCATGCCCGTGCTTCAATAATGACCAAACGAGGAAGCCAGCCGATTGACGCCCCACCATGATCTACTACTGCCTCTCCACGACAGCTTTTTACTTGTCGCTTCCAGTCCCCTTCCTTCGCAACCTTTATTTGCCTTACCCTACCTAGAGCATTTATGCCCTGGACATAACACCCCAAGCACGGATGATGTTGTCAGTGTAACCGGCGAAAAGGGTCTGGCCATCAGCAGACCAGGCCAGAGAAACACACTCGGGCTCTCGGCTCTTCTTGTTACCAGTGGAGGTAGAGGCGAACTCGGGCTTCAGCTCATCAACCCTGGACTTCTTCTCAAGATCGAAGATGATGATGCTGCTGGAGGTAGCAGCGCAGAGCCAGTAGCGGTTAGGGGAGAAGACGAGGGCGTGGATCTCGTCGTTGGCGTTCAGGGAGTAGAGGTGCTTGGACTCGTTGAGGTCCCAGAGCATGGTGGTACCGTCCTTGCCACCTGAGGCGCAGAGAGAGCCGTCGGGTGAGATGGTGACGGTGTTGATGTAGCCAGTGTGACCAATGTGGTCAGTCTGGATCTTGCAGGTGCTGAGCTCCCATACCTGTGAACATGGTTAACTTCTGACACACACAATTCTTCACCAAGATGTGGCGTGTAAAGAGAACGTAGAAGAACAAAAATCCAAGCGTTGGTAAAAAATCAGGGCAATTGGTGAATGATTGTCTCATGGCCTGCTAAACAGGCTCTGAAGTAGCAAATACTTTAAATTTTGCAATACATCATTTGATACCACGCTGGAGGAGAAATTCGAGAGAAAGAGTAATCTCACCTTGACGAGCTTGTCCCAGCCGGAGGAGACAATGACGGGGTTCTGGGGGTTAGGGCTGAAGCGGACGCAAGAAACCCACTCAGTGTGGCCGTTGTCGGTGATGGTGTACTTGCAGTCTCCGAGGGTGTTCCAGAGCTTGATGGAGTTATCGCGGGATCCGGAGACGATCTGTCGGTTGTCGGCAGAGAAAGAGACGGACAGAACGTCCTTGTTGTGGCCAACGAATCGGCGGGTGGTGGTACCGGTGGCGAGCTCCCAGAGACGCAGAGTCTTGTCCCAAGAGGCAGACAGAGCGTAGGCACCGTCGGAGGAGATGACCTATATTGTGTTTCCCAACATCAGCCCATGATCACATTTGATACTGGATGCTCATCGCAGAATTCAGGTTAAGACATACGCAGTCAGAGACGATGTGAGAGTGACCCTTGAGGGATCGCTTGGGGTAACCGTATTGGGTCTCGTCACGGGTGAGATTCCAGATGATCAGAGTCTTGTCTCGGCTGGCGGAGAGCAGCATGTTGGGGCTGAGAGGCGTTGGTTAGAATCGGGGTCTGCAAGGATATCGGCTCGGTCTTGGGTAATAACCTACTTCTCCATGGAGGTAGCCAGGCTGGTGACCCAGCCATTCTGCAGGATGTGTTAGCACTTGAAGATATATGTGGCCAAGGGGCAACGGGCCCAAGATATGCCGGGCACAGGGCCTGGAGCCGGATCCCAAAATGCAAATCGCAGCGTTGAATGCAGGCAGACTTGTTTCGAGTATGAGAAGGGGGAGTGTTAGGAATAACTTACGTGGCCCTCGAGAGTGCCCTTGAGGATCAATTGTTCGGCCATTGTGACGAAGCTGAGAAGAGCGATGCAGAGGTATCAAAAGGTTGCGTCGTCGGTCGTCCAGGGAGGGGAGGAGAAGGGAGAAATTTGAGCTCTACAACGAAGTCCAGGATTAGAGGGTCTCTCGGATTCGGCCCAGCTCCCTGGCCGATTGGGATTTAGGTGGAATTTTTTTTCTGTGGGCAAGAAATTAGGGCCACCACATCCTGAGCCTCACTAGGTACCTTAGGTAAGGTACCTACCTCTAGTGGAGCAGCGCCACACAGAGGTACCTCGTAGCCCTGGTAGGTACAGCCTCCCACTCTGGCGGCTTGTGCAAGGTACTTCCCTCCCACAGACCTCATAACACATTTATGCATGCTCCAACCAGGGCTAGTGCGAGCCGTGGTCCTGCCTGAGGTCTACATGGATTTGATCCACGCTCGGTTAGCGAACATGCGTAGCGATTCCCGAACGTTGTCGATGTTGTACTCTCGAGTTCTATCAGAGTAGTCAATACATCCGGCGATGAGGTATAGAGACCATGCACGATCGCCATCATCAGTGGTTTTGATTCCCAATTAAAGAGAGCCCAGCGCTTACATATGAGAGGCTAAACGCAGGATTCTGTTGTTTCCCGTTGATGTTGACTGCTTGAAGGATATGGCATTTATGCTCCCAAGAACCCCAGGGCATAGATAATGGCTGCTGCTTTCAGGCGCAATATCTATTTGAGTGAATGTGAAGCCATGCTGATGCAGGTGGCTATGGACACACGGGGTACCTGTTGGTAGCGTGGGACCCGGGCTTTTTGACTACCGGTGTTGCTGGAATAACGCATAAGGTGCAAAGGTAGGTCAATCATAATGAATGCCAGGTGTGATGTATATTATTTTCAATCCGAGGCATCTTCTCTATTGCGGCTCTGCTTGCGAAAGTCCCAAATGCCACCAAGCCCCTTCCTTCTAGGCATATATCCATGAGGATAGATCATGTTCTCAAAATTAGTGAAACGAAACTCCAGAACTCCAAACCAATGACTCAGATGCAGCGCTCTTGTAGAATCCTGAAGCAAAAGGGCAAGCAGATATGCATATCCCTCTATATATTCTCTGATTAATATAAACGGCTTTACGTGCTTTAGTGAACGCCCGTATTCTTCGCCGTCAGATTGGATCGCTTCCCTAGCCGTGTGACATCTTTTCTTGAGAAAGCTGAGTCGCTGTTGACAATCATGCTGTGGTCCGCAATTTCGCCGGGATCCGTACGCTCTCCATTGCCTTCGCCTGTCATAAAGCGTCTCATTGTAGATTCCCAAAGGCGAAAGCGCTCCTTTCCGTAGCAATCCCGTTCCACTAGTGACTTGACTTCCTTCTGCTTTCGCATTTTGGATGCTCTAACCAGCCCTCTCAAAGCCTCCTCTCCTTGCTGGGCTGTCCTGGCCACCTGCTCTCGGATTTTCTTTGAGTCGCGGACGTTGATATCATCCTGCGGCGTGAACTTGTAGGTGTGTTTGCTCGGAAACTCGGGAAATGACTTTGGAATGTATGATCGCTCGTGGCGATCGGGCTTTCCGCTTAACTCTTCATCAAGCAAAGGCAGTGTTGTATAGGGGCCATCGTCCAACGTGATAAGTTCGTCATAAGTAGGATTTAGGTCTTGTTTGACCATCGGATGTTTGATATGTGGTCTGAGGGAAGATGTGGATATATTGTAGCGTTTGAGGGTCATTTCGAAATCCATTGGGGTGGGATGATCGCGTCGTGAGGACAAGGCTAGCTCTTTGGATGTGTTGATGAGTGATTCGAGGTCTACAGAACTGGTCAGTGTCAAGGGCTATCAGATAGACCGCTGTGGAGATGGATACACACAAGTTTCTACAAGCTGCGTGAAGCTCTCGAGAGAATCTGGCGTGGCAGAATCGAACCCATCATGTTGGAGAACCCTGGCTATCGATTGCTGGAGGGCAAGTCTCGATTGGGAGTGAAGACTGGGTGTAGCTAATACATATGACGTTTGTTCCGTCATGGCTGGAGACACGGGGTCTATGGTAGATGGGGCTATGCTGGCTATTTTCGCATCTTCGCCAGTAGGAGATGGTTTGATTTCGGGCTCAGCTGTTCGGGAGCGCTTCGTCTCTGGATTCTCGCCTTCAGGTGAAAGGCTGCGCTTTGGAGATGCCATCGTAGTTAATCGAATAGTGTAGTAGTGAGCGCGCCAAGCGACCTAAACTGGTTGCGATTGAACTTGAAGAAATGATCGCAGAGTACTTCCGAAATAAGGGCACTGCTCATCAGGATAAAGAGAGGTCGGCAAGCTTGATTTGCCTGACGTTATCCTCTTCACGTTTGGGTACACCTTGGTGATCAACACGCGCCAAGGATTGATGACTAAGCTACCGATCGACTTTCGGTACTAAGCTTGGGTACTATAGGGTGCTCAGAAATGCTTGCATGGTTGCGCCCTAGTTAGATCATTTAGATGCATGCCCTTTTTCGATAATAGGTAATCATATTCCCTGGCAGTATGATATCAGCGGTTCCTTCTTTGAATGCCCCGAAGCTGGTACATTGGGTGTTTGCTTTCTGGTGCGACCTGCGTGGGGAAGTGTCGCTGCATGTGATTGACAGGGTTCAATGTGAGGCTGCTGAAACATCTCGGGCGATTGAACGAGAATCCCCGAAACTTCTTCTCGGTTCCGTTTTGGCGGCAGCTGCCGACCTAGGTAGGTAGGTAGGCAGGCAGGCAGGCAATTACGTCCTTGTAGGCATCTGTCTATTTTGGATTCAAAATTGCGTTCTAGTGCCGCTTCCGTTGGTGACCAGCGAAATTACAAGAACGATGATGATATATGTATAGTAGGCATGACTATCGTTGCATGCAGGCGAATGCTTCCGACCGGCTCAGATTTGAGGGCCAGCTATGTAATGGGACGCTCGTAACTCGGCCAGCGTGCAACTCACGCAACGCATACATATGGCGATTAATATTGATTATAATGTGTGGCTTTCTCGACTCATACTGCCTGATGTATCCATCCATGCTGGGGTCTGGCTGAGTGGATGCATGTGCACGCAGGCGGCGGGACATGTTCTGTTGGTTTACACGAACAAGAAAAATTCTATCCCTCACGCAGTCAGATGCAGGTGGCATCATGGCAGCTTACCGCCCAGGTTATCCGCTTTTACGTCGACGTATGATGTACATCTGCAACTGCCCTCAAATTGCACGCACGCACGCACGCACGCAGCCAGGCGGTTGGTCGTGCGTCTTGTCGGAGTTTCCGAAGGCATTTGATGGCGAGTGAATGACCTGCCTCGGGTAGGTCGGTATTAGAGCCGGGTGGCGCTGGTAATGTCAATAGGTTCAAGTTGTCTTTGCGCTCTAACAAGCCGCACACGACTGTAGCCTTTATGCAGGTGCCTAAGGAAGGTGTACCTGTGCTGCGGCTGCCCGCCTGTCCTCTGCTCCTCCTTCTTTCGGTCCCCCGCTTGCTGCTCACTGCTACCCGCCCACCGCCCTACTTCATTTCGAGCATTTCTCCGCCCATCGCCTCCACCCTCAACCCCTCAAACTCAAAAAATACCTGCCATGGTCAGACGGGCTGGCACGGAAACGCAAAGCTCCCGATGTGCATGTCTATCAGGCTGTTCGCTGTCCCTCCAGGCCCATGCCGGCCATGCCGTGTGATGTCTGTTGCACTTCGTCTTAGCCGCTGATGTACCTGCCTACATCAGATAGCCAATCCAAGGGAAGGCAGGGCAGGTAGCTAATGTACGTAGGCGGACGCATCTGTGTCTAACACCCGACCCTGCTTGAGGGACCGCAGGTACTGGGCAGGTACCTGGGTTGGCTCGTGGGTGGTGTTGCTAGCGATAACCGCACAGGCGAGTGATTGGCGCCCGGGCGGGAGGGGTTGCAAGGACCTGGAGGTACCGCCAATGATTCCACGGGTGCGAGGTACCAGGCGTATGTACCTCTCGGAGTGCTGCATCCCGCTTCCTTACCACAGGCCCTACCTGTCAATACCTGCACGAGGTACCTAAACTGTCCCGGGTCAATTGTTGTCCACGCAATAGCACTCGGGCCCCAGTGATTAATATTCAATTCGAGAGTAGCTTTTTTTGCATCGGCGGTTTTTTATACACCCTCTGTCCGGCGGTCCTTATCTTGATTTGTTTGCTGTTTGGTAGCATTATTCACTTGTTCTTCCCTTGCGAGCATCCGAGCCTTTGATTTCCTTCCCACGCGCTCTTTATCCCAGCCAGCTGCCCGGTGTATCTCTCTCATTCGGCCACTTTGCCGTCTCAGCGGGCAGGTTCCCCCTTGCCGAGCATATTCGCCGCGGACTTGAGCGGTTTGGAACTGTGGCTGGTAGCCCTCGACTCGCCTCCACCTGGAGACTGCCTGGGGACTTGCCTCGTCTATCTGGATAGACAAGGAGTCAATTCATATTGACCTCGCTGTGAGCCCGTCTGTGAATCTGCAACCAGCGAGGCCCTCTTTAGAAACAATCATGTTTAATAAAGAGCGAGCCCGCTGCTGACAAAAACCCTCCCACCCGGTCACCAGTCCTGTTGATCGCATCACTTTACGACGTTTATGAAATTTTTTTGGGCATTGCCATTTAGGTCGAGGCATTTCTTCGAAGCTATTCTTCAATTCCCCGGCTCGGCTCCGGGCATTCTATCACAGTCTATCCGCCGTGATAGCTGGGCGTGATAATCTCATAATGTTTCTCTTTGATGCTTCGGCCTTGCCGCAGCTCACCACTCGCAAAGCATTCATCGGAGTTGACTTCCAGCATGACTTCTGCGACCCGGATGGCGTTTTCCCTGCGACCGAGCCTGAAGGGTTCGTCGATCGGGCAGTGCAACTTGCCACTGCCATCCGTGCATCTGGCGACATTGTGTGGGTTAGGACGAAGCCCGATGGTCGCAGGTCGCCAGATGCTGAGCAAATCATTGTTTCTGATGATCCTCTAGCTGGCATATCCATGCCATGGAGAACGCGGCGTGGGGCACGAATTCCTATCCAAGAATCTGGGGTAAATGACGACACACCAACGGAGCCTGACGCAGAGGCATTTCTGAGCCAAAGCGAACCCTCTTGCCTCACGTCGCCCGCTGGTCTTGCACTGGCTTCTCCTGTGAAGTTGGCCATGCAAAAATCAGATCTAACGGTTACCAAAACCCATTATTCCGCCTTCCGAGACACCCAACTGCTACTCATTCTTCGCGCCAAGATGGTCATGGAAGTGTTTATATGTGGCTCGCTCACCAACGTTGGACTTTATGCCACCGCAATGGATGCTGCTCGCCACGGCCTGTCCATCACGATCGTCGAAGATTGTTGTGGTTATCGCTCAAAGGACCGGCAGATAATCGCTCTCCACAGACTGGTCGAAACGACAGGTTGTGAAGTCGCCTCTGCAAAAGATATCATTAAATCATTTGAAAACCAGCCCAAAAAGCCTGCCATTTCCCGGAAATCGAGCCGGCCAGACAGACTATCCAAGCCGGCTGGTGATAATAGGAGACCAACACCACCGGCAAAAAACATCAAGGCAGATGACATCGCCAAATCACTGTCAGAATTAACTATTGCTCCAAATGCAGCTGAAGACAGAGGCGCAGAAAAGCCAACAAACTCAAAACCAATAAAAAAGACGCCCAAGCCGTCTGGCGCTAGTATCGGGGCTGAGGCTGATGTCCCCAAGAGTGGCATTAAGGCTGACTCACAGGCAGCAGCGCCTCAATCGAAACCACTAGAAGATACCAGTCGCGTTGGTCGTGTAGCGAACAAGCAAACAATAAAAGAAGCAAAGTCTGACCAAGACATTGCGAATCTCATGGTTCATCTCAACATAGAAGACGGTTCAAAGAACATGGCTCAGACCAATCCCGAAATGGAGGCAAAACCTGACCAGGCTCACCCTAACCACAATGATCTTGGTGAAGACAACAAGACTGTCAAGGCACGCCAAGATGGACTTTGCGAAGGCGACACGCATGTTATCGAAAATGTCCTCCCAAAGGAACTCGAAGATGGTGTATTCGACAAGCTTCGCCAAGAGGTTAGCTGGCAGCGAATGTCCCACCAAGGCGGGGAGGTTCCACGTCTGGTTGCTGTCCAAGGCAAAGTAGCCGAGGATGGCAGCATTCCGATTTATCGCCATCCATCTGACGAAGCACCTCCGCTTTTGACATTTTCACCAACCGTCTTTGCCATCAAGGAGGCCACGGAAAAACAAGTGGGCCATCCTCTGAACCATGTCCTGATTCAGTACTATAGAGATGGTAATGACTACATCTCAGAACATAGCGACAAGACGCTTGATATTGTCAAGGACTCATTCATCGCCAATGTGAGCCTCGGTGCTGAGCGAACAATGGTGCTCAGAACGAAACGATTGGATAAGGACCCATCAAAAACTGAGCCATCCCCTGATCATGGCAACAAGAAGCGACAGGTTCAGAGAGCCCGACTGCCTCATAATTCTCTTTTCCGCATGGGCCTTCGGACAAACATGAAATGGCTGCACGCTATACGACAAGACAAGAGAGCAGAGCGTGATAAGACCGCAGATGAGCTAGCATATTCGGGTGGGCGTATTTCTCTTACCTTTCGAAATATCGGAACTTTCCTATCCAAGGAGCAGACCCTTATTTGGGGCCAAGGCGCGACAGGAAAGGTCCGCGACGACGCTCGGCCAGTCATCAATGGTCAGAGTTCTGAAGCTGTACAGATGCTCAAAGCTTTTGGTACTGAGAACCATTCTTCAAAGTTCGACTGGGACGCCAGTTACGGAAAAGGCTTTGATGTTTTGCATATGAGCAACTCACCTCGCTTTTTCGCCTCACCAGACCCTGTCGTAAACATGCGCATTTCCCTTATGCTTGCTGAGTATGATATCAACCATGCCAAGGGTAACATGGGTCCAGCCAAGGGTGGTACAGAGCCTGATACCAGCAACGTGCCTGTCAAGTTCGTTGACAATGACGCGGCCAGGTCTATTGTTGAGGGCGATGCTGGCATAATGCTCTATCTCGATGCTATATATGGGTCCAAACAAAACGAAGCTCTTGGTCAGGCTTCTGTGGCGAAGAAATACACACGCTTCCAACAGGGCCTCAGCCTACTCAAGACAATCAGGTTCCGCAAAGCCTCCGAAAAGGATAGTGGCTCTGATGTCAAGTTCTTGCAACGGGATTTGGCGCCGTGGAATGTTCTCCTTCGGGAATCGGAGGACAAGTACTTGGCAGGAGGGAGTCCTTCCCTGCCAGATTTTGTTCTGTGGCCAGTCCTTCACACCTTGTTTGAGCAGCATGGATCTGCTATATTTGAGAGTGCAGAGCACCTTGAATGCTACTTTGAGAAATTTAGAACTAGAGAAAGTGTCAAGAAGCTCTTGGTGAAAGATACAGAGGGAGGATCATAGGCTTGATTGATGATAAAACCAAACACCAAGCTGTACATAATGATACCTATCTATATCTATTCAAGACTTTCAGACCTACTCAACGACGTCTATCTCCCGTGCAATCGCCCCTACTCAATTCCTCAAGGTGCTCTTTTGCGTTCAGTCACCGGTGAGACAAATTACAGGTAACAGTTCTATGTTCACGTATGTACAGCAACTCAGTAAATGCGTTGATTACAGAAAGATATGCACTTTGACCTTTCTGAGGCTCCCGGCCTCTCATGTTGTGAATATGATCATCTCTCACTCGCCCATGGTAAGGGATAGGTCCCGACCCAATCCTCCAGCTCGCTTCTCAACTGCAGAATGTCCGGGTAGTTCTCACCATTCCCTAAATGATCCATAAAGAACTTCACTTTCCCAGGAGACTTCTCCCCCCGCTCTTCAGCAGCTTTCCGGGCTGCCTTGTCCACGCGAATAGTGATGTGAACTGCCCGATCCACGATGTCAGCAACTCGGACAAAGTCATTCTCGTTGAAGCCTCGACTGGTCATGGCTGGTGTACCCATACGCAAGCCGCCGGGCACGAGGGCGGATTGGTCACCCGGGACGGTATTCTTGTTGGAAGCCACACCAACCAGCTCGAGTACTCGCTCCACTCGGCTACCATCGACGCCTTGAGGTTTCAAATCGACAAGAACTAGATGATTATCGGTGCCGCCACTAACCACACGATAACCCAGACCCCCCTTTTCCTTTGGCTCGGCCAGCCTCGTGGCGAAAGCTTTTGCGTTTGAGACCACCTGCGCTTGGTATGCGTGAAAGTCTGGAGACTGCGCTTGTTTCAGTGCTACGGCAAGAGCAGTGATGGTATGATTGTGTGGCCCGCCCTGGTGCCCGGGGAAAACGGATGAGTTGATCGGGCCCTCGAGGTTATACAATTCGTCTTCTTTCGTCTTCGGGTTCTGCCGCCTCACGCCTTTCCTGTAGAAGATGAGGGCACCACGAGGCCCACGTAGGCTCTTGTGTGTCGTCGTCGTCACAACGTCCGCGAACGAAAAGGGTCCTGGTATTACATGGGCGGCCACGAGCCCAGAGATGTGTGCCATATCCGCCACCATATATGCGCCCACTTTGTCGCAGGTTGCGCGGATACGTTTGTAGTCGATGAGGCGGCTGTAGGCGCTAGCTCCTGCCACAATCACCTTTGGTCTATAAAGTGTTGCTAACTCGTCCAATTTGTCGTAGTCTATATATCCTGTAGATTCGTCTAGCTGATATGGTACGGTTTCGAAATATTTGGAGACGAAGGAAATCTTCTTCGTGGGTGTCTGATATCCGTGGGAAAGGTGCCCGCCATGAGGCAAGTCCAGTCCCATAAGTCGATCATGAGTATTCATTAGGGCAGAGTATACGTAAAGGTTCGCCGGAGACCCGGATAGAGCTACATGGCATATGTTAGCACTTGACAGCAGCATGTGGTAGTATACGGCGAAACACACCCTGAACATTGACACCCCAGGCCTTCGAATCGAGCCCGAAAGTCTCTAGAGCACGATCCTGACATAGCCGCTCGGCCTGATCTATAAATTCGTTCCCGCCATAGTATCGCGCTCCGGGGTACCCTTCCGAGTATTTATCTAGTATCCAAGCGTTAGCTACCGTCTAAGTCGCTGAAAGTATCGAGATTGCCACCAACTTTGCATTACACTGCCAAGGGCATCGAGAACGGCTTGTGATGTGAAATTTTCGGACGGAATTAAATTGATGAAATGTTTCTGCCTTTTCTTCTCCTGGTTTGTATTGCATTAGCACGGAGACTTGTCGGGCGGATTGTTCCACGGCTCGTTGCCACTCTAACCTGTTCAATGATCTTGTAGACGACTGGGTCTGCTTTTTCGAGATGCGCGCTCAGGAGCTAATTAGGCAAAGGAACATATTAGCAGTGCGGCTTCCCATGCCTAGAAGGGCTTCACATTGAACTGCTGTAGGCAAGCGGGCGACAAACCTGTTGCTGGTTGTCAAGCGACAGAGACGACTTTGCCCTCACAGCGCCGCATGAAAATACCCCCGGTGAAGGCTGTGCTTGTCTCGAGAGGCGACGAAGCACCGTCGAGGTGCCACGAACATTTGGTCGCAATGCCATGGCTCAATCGTTGTTGGTGATCGTACGATGATTGGGGAGCGAGCTACCCCGGGGAAGGATAGCACGAGCTGCTGGAGCCCGAGAGGTGTAGATATTAACCGGCCGTAAGAAATACCAGGACCTTCAGCGGCACATGATGCACAGGCACTGCAACGACGGGGTACTCGGGCGACGAGCGAGAGGCTGAGTGGGCGGGAGCTCCTATCACAGCTACAAGGCAAGGCAAGGCAAGGCAAGGGCAAATAAGATCCGATAGCCTGGCCGTTGAAGCCGACTGGAGGAGCAGCGCGGGTGGATGATGGACTGTGGGCGTCATCATGCCACTGGACTGGGGCTCCCCACCTCTAGCCCAACCGCCTGAGCACCGCTAACGGCACCCGCAGCCAAGTGCCTTCAGGTCATTGGAAGGTACCTACCGCCCCAAGTGGGCAGTATCCGACATGGCGATAAACACGATACCTATGCACTATAGTCGGTATCCGGCAATACACGATATAGGGATTCATTATTTACTTGGCATGGTGGTGGCTGCTATCAATTGAGGAATTCTGAGCACCGTGTTGATGCCTTCAATGGCTACCGACCAGGAGCCTCCCGCTATCTGCAAGCCGCTGATAACGAATCTATGATGAGCCGACATTCAAGTACTCAAGTATAGACACCACACAGAATGCGTCGATTAGGGCAAAGAAGCATAACCGACAATAACACCATCCTTGCTGGAGGCGCTTTTCAATGTTTACGTAGCGAATGAACACCTAGACACTTGTGGTTTACTGTTCTTACAAGCGGACCCTGGAGACACAGCTGGCTTTGATGGATTTTTCTGCGTCTTTTGCTTCGAGCCGGTTCTCTGTTCGAAACATAACTCCGTCTTGATTCGGGGGTAGCTACTCTTCTGCAGTGATGAACACGATTGACCACACTCAACTTGCGCTAATTAGCAAGGACGTGAATTATCAACACCTCAAGAGATAAGCTTGAATGAACGCCGTGGCGGAAAATCGTTTTTAGGAATGACATAGCAAATACGGAAAATTGCAATACGAGTCCCAAGCTCCGAGTGTCATGGTTTTCATGTTCAATGCTACATGCCAGAAACCGCCCCGCCACCGGTCCGACTGTAGAGGAAACCAAAGGGGCGTAAAAAAAATCCCAACCCGTAGACTCCGAACGTAGCTTCTTCCTCTCAAGACCGAAACGTAGCCGTCGCCGCCATGTTTTTACTCCTCGCTCAGCAGAGCATTTCTCTTTGCCGCCACTCTCTCTTGCTTGCGCTCGCGTGCGGCCTTGGTCTTGGCACGCTTGGCGTCCATCTCCTCCTTGAGCTTGGTCTCACGGGCCTTCTCGGCCTTAGCACGGTGAATCTGTGTTATGGATTAGCATCTGATTTCATCCGGAAAGAGTGCTGCCCATGATGATTGTTTTCACCCTAGGACAGCAGCAGAAATGGTTGGGGAGAACCTACATGCTCAACGAGAGCACGCTTGTGCTTGAAGGTGTTACCCTTGCTGGAGTGGTAGAGCTCGTGGTACAGGTGCTTGTCGATCTTTCCGCTGGCACGGTACTTGACCAGAAGACGGCGGAGGACACGCAGACGGCGCATCCAGAGAACCTGCTCAGGCATACGGGCATCGGCAGTACCCTTGCGCTTACCGTAACCTCTGTGGCGACCCTCTCGGCGGGCAAGGTTGAGCTCACGAGCTCGGGAGCGCGAGTGCTGGGTCACAGGCTTGCGGATGATGAGACCATCGGAGATGAGCTTTCGGATTGTCTGCCGGGAGTTGGCGTTGGAGATCTCGCTCTGCTCGTTGGGGTCGAGCCAGATCTTTCGCTTGCCGCAGCCAATGACCGAAGAGGCCAGGCGCTTCTGAGTTCGGAGATTGACCCTAGAAGCATTCAATTAGCACACTCTTGATCCCTCTGACTTCGGTGCTGTGAGGTAGAAAATATTTCTCGATTCTATTAAGAACCTGAAAAATGTAGCCGCCTCACTCAGACCATCGACATTCTCGCCAGTCATCAAATGAAAGCGAATAATTCTTGATTCGAAGACTGATCGAGGCATTGGGTTCGTTTCGCGTGCCTACTTACATCTTGATTGTCGTTGGTCGTGACGGTCTGGTCCTTGGGTGGTTGAAGGTTGAGGTCTAGGAGGAGGGGGCTTTACTTCATAGTCATCAAGAATTTCTTAGGTGCACACAATCCAAATGGGGTTTGTGGGTTCACGTGCTCTTCGACCCACACACAATACTAAGCGAGGGCTATGATGGAGCATGAGTCACCGCCTGGGAGAGTCTGGACACGTGACCTTGACCTTCCACCCCAATTTCGACTGCCTCTACGGAGGACGATTCAGAAAGTAATGTCCCACGCTAAATGCGCCACACCCTAGATCCTTGCGAAGGACCTGAGGGTACATTCTTCTTCAGTGTCTACTGTACTAGAGCTTTCACTATTCTAGCAGAGATAGGGAGGTCAAATGAAGATACAGGCATCAAGGGTGTGCTAATGAGTAGCGGGCTTTTAGTGGAAGAATGTATCTTTTGTATCCTTGCAAGAAAAAGCAATTATGTGGCTAGTGCTGGGACATTACTTTCTGAATCGTCCTCCGTACGTAAGTACCTAGGTACGTGCTTTCGTGGGCCGTATTGTAGCCCAGGCTGCAGCAACCTAACTTACCTGTAGGGGCAGTTCACCAACAAGCAGACAATAATTCAGTTGCCTTGGAACGCCAACTTAACGAATTATCACCGAAAAATTTTGTATGGTAAGAATTGATTATATGTTATTTTTATTGCATATTTATGAGGTAATGCAATATATGTCTTTTGCACCAGAATACCAGTGGATATATAGTGATAGCTTGGAC